CATCATCATCATATATACCACAATCATCATCATCATATATACAACAATCATCATCATCATATATACCACAATCATCATCATCATATATACAACAATCATCATCATCATATATACCACAATCATCATCATCATGTATACCACAATCATCATCATCATATATATCACAATCATCATCATATATACAACCAATACTATCACCACTATCATCACCATGTTTACAACCACTGCCACAATCATCATCATATGTAGCTCCAGCTACACAAACGTTATCCAGTTTAACTACGTCTGTAAAGCAACCTGATTGTTTTTCACCAGCCCCACAGCATTCATATCTTGACTCATCCCTTGCAACCACACTCCAAAAAACTCTTAAACAAACAATAGAATCTGACAATCAAAAGACTCAGATCAATTCTCAAGGTATCAGCAAACTTGAAAACTCTCCTAGTCCTGTTGCTATGGCAACAACAGAGTTTCAAGGAACATATATAACCACAACGTTGGGGTCCAATGAATCGTCGCCAACTTCACAAAAAGCAGAAGAGTGTGTTTTTGGTTTTATTTCTGGTTTTGAAGGAGGTTTGTCCTGTGGTCAAAGTAATGATCAAGATGGCTTGACCATACCAGTCAATAAGACATTAGTTAGTGCTTCTCTGGACAAAGATATAGATGGTACAAGGCTGTCAAAAAATGGGACAAATAGGAAAGAGATTGCRTATGGTAACGAAAGGAAGAAAAAGAATGATTCCAGTGGAATCGCATGTGAGAATGCTAAGAAGCAAGAGAATAAGGAGTCAAGAGAGGTGGTGCATATTGATGAGTGTGGTGCCGAGGAAAGACATGGACAAAAGAGACCTGCTGGACAGGATTTAAAGGAGAACAAGGTGAGTGGTAACGATTATACTAAAATGATGGGCATGATTATAATAGACAAGGGATGATGGTCTTGATGGTCTCGATGCTGATGGTGATGGGGATGATCTTGTTGATAACAAGTGATGATAGTCTTGATGGGGATGGGGATG